CCCCGCTTACACCCAGAATTCCCAAACCGCAAGAAAGCGGTTCACCGTCGACTTCTCGGAAGCGGCGTTATTACAACGGGCGCATTCCGCGTTGTGCGAAAAGTGTTCCCAAATCGGAGAACCGTGTTCAAGCGAAAACGCGTTGTGTGAACACGCGTTACGCGAGGACTTACACCATATGTTTATAGAAAATGTGCTTTATACATGGCTGTATATATGTTGAACTTCTTTTCGCCATACGTAGGTGTGTTGGAAGGACAACAAACTAAACACAAATGACCGACTATGATACGAGTAGAAATGTTTTATCGTGTAAACATCGGTTGTGGCGACGAGACCTGTGTAATTACACATTTTGCACATTCACCCCCCCCCCCCCCCACACACATGCGGCACTGTGATAAATCATTTCCATTTCAAGGTTGCGAATTGATTCAAGAACTGCAGATTTTTGTAAAAAAATCTCGGCTTTACCGTCTCATTTGGATTTTATCTCTTTTTTTGTCTCCTGTGTAGATTTCTGTTCACCACATTATCCTAAGCGAAATGTGAGCGTGACATTTGCATATTACGTTCAATATACCACCCCCCAAAAAAATGCTTAGACACACAATTCTGCAGTTGTGGTGACTGGTGGGGTGGATGGTGGATGACAGAGTAGAACGACCGGCGGTTTTGTGGTTGATGCACTTGTTATTTAGACACGGATATTTGAGTTCAATGCCCGGCTTACATTGGTGGCTAACTTCAGTGGTGAGTAATATAAGAAACCTGTCCTGCCAACCCCTTCACCAACGTGCACCGACCAGCATGGTGAAACAACCCCAATGACTGAAATGCGTGCGGAGGCCTTCAAACGGCAACTGATTGGTGAGAGGCCATAAATTATATATTATTGTAAGCGTAAGATTCAATATTAATCGATTAATTAAATGCATCTTTGCATGCCTTTTGAGTATAGATCAGTCCTGGATTGACATGGTAGATTACGGAGCTACAGATTAACATTTCAATGTCCGATGTCTTCTAAGCGCGCATTGTTGTCAGATCTTTTCGGGCATACACCTTTCAAAGCCGCCTTTAGTACTTAAACCGATCAATATTTCTGCTTTGCTTTTCTGTGTTCAGATGCTCCATCAGAGATGAGCATTATTGAGAGCAAAATAGATGAACAAAGCCTTCTTCCTCCATTTGACGCTCCACGTAATTAGTTTTTTTATATTTTGCACAACCCATTGGTCGGCAAAGCATTCTGGGAATGAGAGATTTGTCTCCCTCTCAAATTTAGCAATCTTTGGAAGAACGCAATCAACCATGTAGGGTTCTAGATTTGAAGCTTTCGTGACTGCAAGGATTCATACTCTTATTTTTTCGGTAAAGTCACGTAGGTAAAAAATGAAATTAATTAACTTTAATTTTATTTTTTACATACGTGACTTTACCGAAAAAAAACTAAGAGTATGAAACCAGGTAGGGTGTTGACTGTTATGTTAGCCGACTCTCTGTGTTGTATTGCATTATATTTCTATGTTTACTAGGTTTGTTTTCTTTTTCATTTGTACCAGATGATGATTGCTCGTGTTGCAATCGAAACGTCGTATGCTATTATTTAATTTAGTTTTTTCTTTCTATGTGACTTTACCGAAAGAATCCAAAGAGTAATTCCTGCAGTAGTCACGAAAGCTCATAAGCAAGTTTCATTCTGGGAATGCATATTATAATTATCAGCAGCAATGTTTCAATACGAGCAAAACGCTTGACCGTTTTTTGCCATTTATTGTCTCATCATCAGACCGTGGCTTGCTTGAAGCAATGCTGGTTAATTACCTGAGGTTAATTGGCAAGAAACCTTCCTGTAAGAAATGTGCCCTAGTGTGATGCAAAACTGTCATTTATATAACACGAAAAAAAAACTATCCTGCGTAATTGTGGACAATGATAACAATAAAATAAATGCCTTCCAAAAACATGCCTCTCTTTCCAAAGGAAACAGAGTAATTGTGAGCGAATGCATTTCAAGCTGCATTGGTGCACTCCTTAGCCGATTTTTGCGTTTCATTTGCTGGCCTTCCCTCACACCTCCGATGCGCGCGGTTGGCTACGTAACGGCGGTGAGATTTGGAAATTCAACATGCACACATACATTAGCTGGTGTCGCACGCCTGTTCGCATGACATCATATGACATCAGCGCACGTGAGAGAGAGAGAGAGAGTCTTCGTTTGAGCCGGCAATATAATGGGCATTGACATCGACGGTAAATTCATAATTAAAAGGAATGGCACAAATCAAGTGTGAATTAACAAGGAAACAGATGTGAGTGGCAAATCAGCTGTGAAGCCGCAAACTGCCCTGGGACGGAAAGAAAAGCACTCCCTCGTGACGCAACCCGAAGCTTCCAAACGCCAGCGCGGTGTATATGGCAACTTGGCAAGGGTTGATAGATCGATGGCTGATTTGAATTTATAACTTCCCCAAAGGCGTCCGACATGAGGCTGCTCCCGGTTGCAAGTTGACTGTTTGAGATATGCTTTGGCTTGACGAGTTTTATGAACGAGCGCAAACGTCGCCAGGCAGGGAGATGAATATTTCCCAAAGACAAATGAGAGTTGGCCCCCTAATGGGTGGTAAATATTGCATCGGCCAACATTTCCCGTTTTGAAATACGCGGTATGTTTGCACATGCGGAATTCATATCGTTGCCCAAACAAATACAAATGCCATGTGACTTGGAAAACATTCTCCTAACGTCCTGTATACACTAATACGTTTGATTCTTAAGAGATTCATTTTAATTTCCTTACAAAATACCTTGTGTTCACCGTGTATAGGCATTCTATATACAGTGTTAAATTACTACGAAAAAGCAGCACAGTTAGAAAATTGAAGTATTAAGTTATCACCGGACACTAGCATCTGAGCCACACGCGAATATCAAGCTATGCATGGTAATAGCGACGGAATATTACATTTAAATGGCCGTGTCTCCCAAGCGCTCGGCACGTGCACAGCTAATTGATTCTAAATGTATATTCGTCAATTCAACTGACGGTTATGTGCTATCAAAGGTGGATAAATTCTGGATGTGTGGTTAGCATCAGATTTGAAGCTTTCGTGACTGCAAGGATTCATATTCTTGGGTTTTTTCGGTAAAGTCACGTAGGTATCAAGATACAGCAAGCGTGCTGTGACGGTTCCACCTGAAGACGGAAGGCTTGTGTTGCCTCCGAAACTTGGTGATTTCTTTTTTATTTTTATTTAACTTTTATTAATTTTAATTTTCATTTTTTACCTACGTGACTTTACCGAAAAAACCCAAGAATATGGTTAGCATCACTTTGTGGTTGTTTTTTTGTTAAATATAATTTCTCGGTGCCTGTGCACATTTGCGATGTGGACACGACCGTCAGAAATCTCGCGGAATCCGTCGTTACGCGAGGCATGTCGTCAGTGCCTTGGCTGAGGTCCACTGGACATGGCGAGCGGTGTCGCCTAAATGCCTCGCTTGAGCCCACTTAGCTCAGACGTTCACTCGGCCCCGGCCGTCCGCCAAATGTTTATGGCTGATGTCAATAGGGTCAGCAACTCGGCCGAGTATGACGACAGGCTTGGTTAGTGAGTTACATTCCATCGAATCCTGTGGTAGGTGCAATCACGTCTTGTTTTCGCAATGAACTGCACAGCACAAGTTGAAGCACTGTTTACCACGTGTGTTTGGTGTATATGGGTTTAAATAATCCAAGGCCCTTTAAAAGAAGGGTATATTAGGAACATGCTTGAGGTACACATGAGAATGTCTGCAAATTCAAAGCAAAGCGTTCAATGGTGTTTTTATTTTTACTAGATGTTTGTAAAAAAGTCATCCAACCCAGAGTTTCGAAGCCTTTTCACGTGAAACCAATGATCATTACAAATTAACTCAATGAGTAAAGTGTATTCAATCACTTATTCAATCTGGCTGCCTTCTGCGTGTCTGTGAAACTACTGCAGAAGATACTCGTCTGCTCTAACGATTCTAACGATTGATTTTATACCGTGTCGTTCATCCTAATTGCATCGCACAATCGCTGAGAAACCACAGACCATGCTGGAAAGCTGTCAGGCAGTGCCAACAATTGCTCTGCAGTTCTCTACATATTCGGATGTTTTCATATGAATTGAGATGTTTTCATCCAATTAATGTGAATTCTTAGGTTTTTTCGGTAAAGTCACGTAGGTAAAACATTAAAATTAATAAAAGTAAAATAAAATAAAAATCACGACGTTTCGGATGCAACACAAGCTTCCGTCTTCAGGTGGAAGCTTGTGTTGCCTCCGAAACGTCGTGATTTTTATTTTATTTTACTTTTATTAATTTTAATGTTTTACCTACGTGACTTCACCGAAAAAACCTAAGAATATGAATCCTTGCAGTCACGAAAGCTTTACATCTAGAATCAATTAATGAGTGTTTAATATGAACGCGGGAAGAAAGCGGAGCACCCGGATAAAAGCCACGTATAAGAGGGGACAACACTATATCCCACACGGAAGGGACAGATGATATCAGTCCACACTTTGCTGTACTGCATTCTGCTGACGTGCCAGGGATATTGCACCTCGATGCCCACGGGAAGGGGAGCCTCGCAGCATTGTTTTCGTCATTCGCGCGGTGATCCACCGACCCTCGCTGCCTCGACAGCGAGAGGCCACGTGCATAGCCACCGCTAATAAGAATGGCGCGGACAGAAAAAAAACGTGCAATTGCTTCGATTGGGACCTTTTTGCCAGCATCAAAATGTTTTGTCACAAGTATGTGTGGTTAATGCAGATTTGATGCCTTGCAATAGGTATATCTATTTGGTTGCGCGGATATCTTCAACACCGCCCGTTTTATTGCCAGAAAAGGGTAAAAAGCCTATTTCTTGGGTTTTTTTTCCACCTCTCCTCCCATCACTCTGATTGCGTTTTCGTTCGAGGCTGGGCGGCGTGACGGGCAATGTGCTTTTGTCCGCCGTGCAGGTGCCTCGCCGCGACCACCAGCCGCCCCGGCGCCCGAGCGGCAGATGGACCACACCATGCGGGTGGCGGGCATCGTGGCCGGGTCGCTCGCCCTCATCCTCGTAATCATGGCCCTGCTCATCATTTTCCGCAGGAGGTGACGCCAGCACGTTCGCGACCCACGAACCACACACACACCTCTCACCCCTTTCTCCCGAACGCACCACAGGCCCCGGCGTTCAATTAAAGATCCCATTTCAGGTCCACCCATTTTCCCGTGGAACCCTCCTAATTAATTGCGGTGCTCGTTTGGTACGGTGGACACGTGTGAGTGGACGCGTAAGTTAGAATTAACGCCGGGGCTCTCGTCCAATGAAGTGTTGGACGTAGGAGGTTGCTCACCTACGGCGTGGGATTGCATTTATGTTTTTCAGTGGGTTTGCGCAGATATTTCCACTGATCAGAAAATACAAATGACCTAAAACCCCATTGGTATTCATATTTTCACCTTGAGAAAATTGTAACACGACGTCGATTTGAATGCAAACTGGTGAGGCTGTGCAAGTGTGGAATTTCTTGCGGGCTATAATTTGGTGCAAATAAGCAAGGTGAATGAATGAGCTCTGTTGATTGCATCACAAATAATGGCAACATTCTAAATTACACACACACACACACGAGTGCAAGCATGTGCACAAGATGTAAAAGGTGTCACATTTTCATGATTCTTGTTGTTTATTCACTGGTGTGATTCATAATTATAATTCTGCCATTCGGATACCCATAATCTGAATAGCTAAACATGTCAGCATATTTAAATGACTTGCGTAGATTTATTTATTTACTTCATTTTCATCAGTGTGTCTAAACGGGATGAACATGTATTAAAGAAAAAATAACAGTACAATCATTTAAATGAACCGTAACTAATCCAGGTCAACGGTGCTTATAGCAATGTAGGTTACAGACTTAAAGCCACATGGCGATGAGGCCATTTAGGTGATGAATTTGTCACAGTGGAGCAGAATGTATGTGACACCAATATGATTAATTCCATTCGTTGTAGGATTTTAGAATTCGGTCAAAGTCAAGTCAAAGTGATGTATTTACCCAATGAGCATTGAGGCTGGTGATCATCTTCTGTTTACAGCCTTGAGCCAGAACTGGAAATTACACATTGCTTTGGGGGGGGGGGAGGATAGTCTATCCATAGAACAACCACTTTTGACTTCCTCACAAAATGCTACTACATTTATAGACCCTGTGGGAGGGAGTCAACACCCAACCAGGGTTTTAACTCGCGGCTACCACTGAGAAATGCATAAAATCCATGCATGCACAAGTCAGGTATTGTAACGAGCCCACAGCCACACTGCCCAGCTTCCATCGTATATAGAAACAATGGACAGCGCATAACAGGATCCAGGCAAAACCACCTTATGCACGAGTGGAAAATCAAATAATCTCTTTGTTATATGACCGTGGCTACAAACACCAAACCATGGAGCAGATAACTTCATACTGCCCCATGAGTAAATGTGAAGGTTGCGGTTGGTTGAGTGAGTGGGTGTAGGTAGTTGGGTGAACGGGTATCTGCATTCACTGATTCTCAAATGAAAGCAATTGAATGGCTAAATCACTTAGAAATGCATCTGTAATCGTTGTTCTTCAATGGCCATACCAAATCATCATCAGCGTTATTGCGATGAGGGAATCTACAAGATGTGTGTTAGGTAATGTTTTGATGCAACTAGAACTGTCGATGTTTCTCTGGGAGCACCGAAGGCGTGTAAAGGCAGCGGGAATGCTGATACAAGACGATAAAATGCGGATGTATAGAGCCTTTAAAAATGAGTGCATCTTCAGACACCATAAAATAGGGGGGGGGGGCGGGGGGCAGTAGGAAATTACAGAGCAGACAGGGTGATGATCGCACAGTGTAGCGTAACTCAAGGTGAAGAAGCAGTCATGGGCAGAGGAGGAGAGTTGAATCTTGAGCCTGGACTTGAATGGAGCAATGGACTCAGCAGAAGGACAGGTAAGCCTTGGGACGGGGGGAGTTTCTCGCAATGGAGATCTGCAGTTGAGAATGATGCATGCAGTCGAATTATTCCACCATCGTTGCGGTTGTCCTGAGCACATGATGAGCCCGTGTGTATATCTGAAGCCTCGTACATATGTCCCAAATGTCTGTTTACAGAACAAAAAATCTGCAATTGTGACTAAAATATATATTTTTTATCTTCTTGGTTCTTTCGGTAAAGTCACGTAGAAAAATAATAAAAGTAAAACATAATAAAATAATTCTATGTTTTATTTTTATTATTTTATTATTTCCCTTCTACGTGACTTTACCGAAAGAACCAAGAAGATGAATCCCTTGCAGTCATGAAAGCTTTAAATCGAAATATATTTTTTATATATGTATTTCGGGTGAAAACATACCAACTTCAGGAAATGTTCACACCTAACAGCAATCGGCTTTGTTACATGTGCATAGTTTTATGGTGATAGGAGATCCGTACGGTTCATTGCCTCTACCGAGATGTCACCGTGACGTGGAGGCACCAGGCTTGTTGGACCCACAGTTTTTAAAAAAGATGCAATTTCCCAAACACGGTCCTGCCCCTGATGTCATTTTCTTGGTGACTAGTATTCCATATGCTTGCATAATCCCGCTCATGCGTGTGGACGCACATGCCGGCACACACACACACGTGTACACACCGCCCACAGCCGCCTGGGGACCTCAGCCCACAGTGAGAGTGGTGTAAAGAAATTGAAAGAGGTGGAATGGGGTGTGATGCGGTGCCAATGTTCAATGTTCCAGAGATAACTTTCCGTTCACAGAAGTGTGGAATATTAATTTCCTTTGGAGAGAGAAATAAAAAAAACACACGCACAAATGCCTTTTTACACAGACGTGGCCATGTGTGATGATCTGTGCTTTGAGAGTCCGCCATCGAAGTAGCTGAATCATTTGTTTCCCTGAGCACTTTCACGCCACTTTTACCAATTTGTGTTTGCAAACGTGAATTACTTTATCAATTATTTAGCGACCATTTTTTTTTAAATATAAAAACACGGCCTTCCTTTCTTCCTACCCCCTCCTGCCTATACACGGCCTTCCTTTCTCCCTACCCCCCTCCCGCCTCTCATTATTTCCCGCGTTCTCTCCGAGCGATGGGTGGTGGCAAGGAGTCGTTTGTCACCGCCACTGCTGCCGCCGCTGCCAATCTCGCCCGCTCACTCCGACAGCCGCCAACGCTTCGTCCTCTTCCCAGTGGAGCAACCCATTGCCCACTGCACGTTCAAGAGAGAGCCCGCCGTTTATGCGTTCAGAGCATTTTGGCGGCTGCTGTAAATTTCCATCGCTATGAGCCACTTCGTTGAGCTATCGTCTGTAGCCAGGTCGCTTCTGAAAAATAGCTGTGGATCTCAGTGGGACTTGCCTGATAAAAAGAAAAGTGTACTCGGCAACTTGATTCAACCAACTTTATTCTCTTGCCTTTCTTTCGAGTAACTTTCAGCTTTAAATATATATAATTAAGATTTTTTTTGAGATGCGGAAATATTTATTTTGAATTGAGCCTCCCCCCCCCCCCCAAACCGATGGGACCTCCAGCGCATTAATTTAGTATGCCTTAATGTCTGCCTGTTTGTCTCTTTCATGCTTACCTTCTCCATTTCATACACATCAGGAGGAGCTACATCTATTACGCTTACTACTTGTAAGTAGTGATGAAACTTGCGTGTACTTACCATATGCAGCTGATAGGCCTACTTTCAGAGGTGTTTTCAAATGGAGGGAAATTAAAGATATGTTAAACCAATCAATAACAATCTGCCCGTGTAATAATCAAAGGATATCTTTGGCACACGGGTTGTGTTAAGCGTTCTCACATGCTCCCGAAAGGGAATCGGGTCATTTGTACTTAAATAATGGAACAAACTGTGCTCAGGCCAAGCATGGCCAAACGTCCATAGTATTAAATATTGACACGAGAACATTTCTTCCTAAAGCAGCTGCAACTTTTAATGCACGTTTTATTTACTAGTTAGTTTCATTTACACATTTGCCCATGTGTATATTTTTTCCATTTTATATCCATGTCTGTGTTCGCACACTCCTTTAATGTGCTTACTTTTTTTTACTCGGCTTGCCTTCCATTTTATGTCCACATTGTTTCACTCTGACTTTGTGAAAGAGCTGATTTATTCAATACATATACCATAACGCCGTACAATATTTTTTTTATATGTATAAAGTTTCACATTGATCAACCTCCGCAATCATTTTCCCAACACTCGTAGCAGTGCATTCCAAAATAAAAAAAAAACCTCAAACGGCATACACATAGAGCCAGGGATGTGAGAAATATCTGTATAAAAAAAAGAATGAGTGTTTGTACAGGGTACACGGAGCACTGAAGTCTGTGGGGATTTTCCAAAGTAGTGCTCCCATGCCAAGCCACACTGTGTTATGGAAATGCCATTAAAAAGGAGGTGTGTTCAGACCTACAAATAAGCAGGAAAGAAAATAAAACTAATTGCAGGGTCGCGTTATGTTATCTGCTCCAGATACTGCATACAATACTCTCGCGTTATGTTACAATACTCTGAATACCTTTAGACAAGACGTGTACCGTTGCCTCTGGGCACACGGTATTTTTGGGTTGGAGTCGCGCGGGGGGGGGGGGGGGGGGCGGGGGGGGGGGGGCGCGGGGGGGGGCGGGGGAGGTTTAATTGCTGACCATGGTCAGCATTGGGAGCAAATGTTTCCTCAACCGGTTCCCCGGACCTCCCGCTGGCAGACTCGGCGTTAAACAGAGGTCGCAACCGGGTACCCGATACCCGTACCCTACCCGATACCTGGCTACCCATATCCGTTTGCGACCCTGGTGCGGCCGGGTATGGGTACGGGTAGGCCGTGAGTCACTTGTGAGTAACCGTTTGTCACTCATTTCTCAACGTCTTGTCTCTTCTCACAATTCAAGTTCCTAGAATCAACCCACCCGCGCCTGCAACATGGCTTCATCCCAGAGGTCGCAATCGGGTACCCGTACCCTACCCGATACCCGGCTGGGTATGGGTAAGCCGGGTATCAGGTAGGGTACGGGTACCCGTTTGCGACCCTGGTGCGGCCGGGTACGGGTA